GGATGGTTAGTTTTCGTTATTTCTTAATGGAACAACTGCTTGCATCCATTTTTTAAATAGATGTTTTATGCTTTTTGGACCGTATATGCGGTCCTGCGGTTCAGCCCGCATGAAACAATTTTTCAAAACTTTTTACATGAGCCTCAATCAGTCCAATAGAAAAAGACTTGGAGAGGGAGAGTCGCAAAGGCAAGGTGTTATCCGGCCGTCAATCTTATTAGTCGTTGTCTCCACTAGCTGTAGGGCTGGCAAAGCAAGATCGGCTACTAAAGGAAAGAGCTTTGCAAACAAAATATAGGAAAGCTACTAGAAAAGCTAACTATCCTCAATGTGACTGAACCCACAAAGGAGAGAGAGAGTTTTTTCAAAGGCAACTGTAATGCGACTGAGAGAGACAGTGTCTGTTTTTTCAAAGGAAATTTACTAAAACCCCCTTGACTCAAACTTTTTTTTTTTTGACATCTTCACCCCCAACAACTTTTTAAAATATTAAAAAAAAAAAAATCAAAGTACCCACCTTCAAATTGTTTGGAAAATGTGGTTTCAATGCTAGAAAACTTTGTGTTAGCTTTAAAATATATTTTTATATTTAATTATAAAATTTAAAGTTTAAAAAATAGTGTACATCGAATAAATCTATGAAAACTTGAAATTTTTGAAAATTGATGATTCAAAAATGTGTTACAAGATGCACTATTTCCAAAACTTGAAATCCACTTTTTCCTTATGCCCATGCATCTTGATGATCAATTTCATAATATTTATGCATCACAACAACAACTTCTAGTGGAATTTTTTAAGTCAGATCTAATTTGATTGATTAGAGCCTTGAATCTATATAAACTTTTTCTTAAAATAAAATTAGCGGTATTTTCGTTTGCAAGTACCTTCCAAATTTAAAAAGGCATTTTTTAGACCAAAATACCTCAATTTGACCCAGGTTTGCATGTCTTTTTTTTTTCTTTTTTGTACTCGACCAAAAAATGAGTCCGTTGATTTCGTAGTGTCGATCCAGTACATCTGGACTAAAAATAGTTCATTCCGACACAAAAAAATGTGTAGGACCGTCACTATGAAAACATGGGCATAAAGTAGAGAGGGGTATTATGACTATACTGACCTTTTTTAAATAGGAAAAAAGTGCAAAAGAAAATGGGTGCGGTTTATATAGAGCCTAGGCTCTAAACAATCAAATTAGAGCCTACCTTCAAATAATGTCGAAAAATGTGGCTTCAACACTAAAAATCTTTGTGATAGCCTTAAAATATATTTTTATATTTATTTATAAAGTTTAAAGCTTAAAAAATTGTGTAGATCGACAGATCTATCAAAATCTTGAAAATTGACGGTCAAAAAATGCATTACAAAATAAACTATTTCCAAAACTTGAAATCCATTTTTTTCTCATGTCTGGACATCTTGATGTCGAGATATCAATTTAAAAATATTTGAGCATCAAAACAACCTCTTTTAATGAAATTTCTAAGGTAAGCTCTTATTTGATTGTTTAGAGCCTTAGCACTATATAAATTTTTCCCAAAGAAAATAGTACTCATTTTCTTTTTTTTTGGTATGGTTTGTATAGAACCTAGGCTCTAAACAATCAAATTAGAGCCTACCTTCAAATAGTATCGAGAAATATGATTTCAATACTGAAAATCTTTGTGATAGCCTTAAAATATATATTCATCTTTATTTATAAAGTTTAAAGCTTCAAAAATAGTATAGATGGACAGATCTATGAAAACTTGAAAATCTTGAAAATTGATGGTCCAAAAATGTGTCATAAAATATACTATTTCCCAAACTTGAAATCTATTTTTTTTATCATGCCCATACATCTTGATATCAAGATGATCAATTTGAGGATATTTGGGTATCAAAATAACGTCTTCTAGTGAAAGTTTTGAGGTAGGCTAAATTTTAATTGTTTAGAGCCTCGACTCCATATAAACTTTCCCTCTTTCTTTGAGTATTTTCAAAAGTAGTTGGAGAGAAGATGCCTTGAAAAAGGAGTTTAATTTTCCCTTGTGTTTTTCGAAGGCAAATGTATGTGACCCAAACTTACAATTCTAAAGGAGAAAAACCTACGTAGCCTACCACTACCAATACTCACTGCTTGCCCTTATCCTTTTTCGTACCTCGATTTCGCCGAGAGGGGCATCGTGGGCCCGAACCGTAAGTAGGAAGACGAAAATACCTTCAATTTTTTTTTAAAAGAATTATATCATGTGGGTTAGACTGCATTTCTACATGCATAAATCATCCATTTTAAAAATAAATGCAGATAGGTGTTTCATCTAAAAACAATTGCAACTAGCAGTCCAAATATTTTTTTAATACAATTATTTTTTAAAATTTTTAAATTTTTTCTTCATATTCATGATCTCTATGTTAAAGATTATACACTCTATGAATTAAGATCATATTACATTTAAAAAATATATTTATTGAGAGCCTACATTTTTATGATATTTAAGTTGGCCGCATGCTAACTAACCACATCCTTTTTTTTTTATTAAGAAAATTGCTTCTTAAGGGCTGGATTACATTTCTAAATATGCGGTTCAGAAACGGTAAAGCATCCATGTTAAAAATGGGTGCAAATAGGTGTCCATCTAAAAATAATAGAAACTAACTGTCTAAATATTTTTTTACTAAAATTATTATCTTTAGTTTTAAAATTTTGTTTATTTATTTATATTCATGATCTTCATATTAAAGATTACATGTCTTTAAAAATTAATTATTAAAATCCATCTAAAAAATAAATTTATTAAGAAGTGCGTATTTCTACATTTGGTCACATAGAAACTAGGTCCTTTTTATTATTACATTAAATCTCATTTTAATCGAAGTTTTTTTTCCAGAGAGAGAGAGAGAGAGAGAGAGGAGGGGAGTATGTTGCTAGGGTCAAGGGTATATTGATGTGCCGGTTTTTGGAGTGCATCAAGAGGCATGGCAATTGAGGGTCTTATCGAGCTTCAGATCTGACGCCCCGTTAAATCAAGGCCCGGGTGGGATCCGCCACCAGCCGATCGCAGAATATTGGATTCCAATTCTCTCTTTCTCTCTCTAAAAAGCTTCCTTTCTCTCTCTCTGTCTCATTAAACTGAAATTCCCGTGTTCCACTCTCTCACTCATATCCGTAGGGGAAAGGTAGATCTCTTATCTCTTTCTATGGTGAAATTAGGATCTGTAGAGAGAGAGAGAAAAATGGATGGATGGATGGATGGATGGCATCTCTCATTGGGTTTCCCATGATCGCGTCCTTTTGTACGGAGGAGACAATAGTTGGAGATGGGACCATAGTCCATTCTTTTCAACTACACTATAATAACACTCCCACATTCACGATTGATTTGACACCATTACCTCTCCCTCACTCGAAACCAAGGGGGAAGAAACCTCAAAATTAAACCACTTTTATTTTTGCTTGGCGGGGAAATCAATGTAGGGATTGATTAAGAGTGTAGAATGACTCCAACCACGAACCCTCCAATGCTTCAGGCTTGTATAAGGTACTCTTACCTTATATTATTTGGAGTAAGGCTTACGTCAAAACTATGCAAGATTTAAAATCTTTTTTCTTCTTTTTTTTTCGTATCAATTTGAAGATTTTTCAACATCCGAGCAACCTGTTTTTTTCCAACGAGAGGAAAAAGGCCCCCCTTTCACAATAGTACCAACACAAGGGCACGAATAATACAAGTAGCTTATCTTTTCTCCCTCTTCTTTTAAAATTGTTCAATACTTTATGAACAATTGCCACTTTTATGAGGGGATAGTGAGTGAGTGAAGTCCCCCATATCTCTCGAACTCAATAATGTAGGTTAGAGGGAGGTTTGAGTTATTTTCCCGAGATAAAGCGCTCCCCCGTTTAGCCTGGTTGGCGTGTGGGGTGGGTGGAACTCATCCCTGCCCAGCCTGTCTGATGAGGAATAGAGAGAGAAACGAGTCAAACCCACGTTAAAAGTCAGTTTTTTTCACTACTTTGTTTTAGACTTTAACTGCACGTGAATAGTAATCGAAATGGATAAAATAAACCGGAAATGGGTCGATCGTCAGAAGCCTCCACCTGCATCCCGCCATGCGCCAACGCCAACGCCAATTACCTCACGTATGAGAGAGAGAGAGATTTTTAAGAGAGAGAAAGAGAGGTTCAGTATAAAGAAAGAGTAAATAAGCTCCGGGCTTGGGCTCGTGTGGTTAGCTTATGATGTTTATGGATAATTGCATGTTGTTGTTTTCATTCTCATACACCTTCAAAATTTATTAAACATTACGAAAATGAGTGAGGATTTGTATTTTACATTGAATTATTTTAAAAAATAAGTTCATTTAACTTCTAGAGAGAAAATCGTCTTAGAAAGGTGGTATAATGTGCAGTAAAAAGGGTATATTGTCCGTTAGAAAGAAACTAACAGGGAATAGAGAAAGGGAATATAGAGGAAAAGTATAGTGAGAGAGTAGTTAAGAGAACAAGTTTTTAAGAGCGCGAGGAAACGAATCGGAAAAGGTTTTTAACCGTCAAAGTAAGAGAAAGAAGGGTAGAATTGACGTTCAAGAGAGAGAAAGAGAGTAAAATAGTAAGGGTGTATTAAAGTGGAGCAACGGCCTATGCACGGGGGTGGTGCCCACCCCAACAAGAGTTCGCCACGTGGCAGACTCACATGAGGATGGCTCCAGCTTGACAGTGCGGCATCCCCCGGTTTCATGTAAAGAAAGCAACGTGCGGACGTCACGTCGTTGGACGGGAACGCCCCCACTTTAAAAAGAGAGCCCGGCCGTTCCACTGCCGTCCATCGTGACGGCGAGGCCCGCCCTGTCTTTCAGTGCACCCCCAAACGGTAACGGGAACCGTCACGACTCCGTTTGTCTCCCTCAACGTGGAGGCCGGCCCCCCCTCTCTCCAATCCTGTGAGGGGACTGCTTTTAGAGAGAGAAACAGTTCCGGCGAGGGTAATTTATAAGCGGGGAGAGTGGATGTACAAATAAGGGTTTTAGAGAGAGAAGATCCAAGTGGATGGGCTTTAGAGAGAGAAACGGGGGTAGTGTATGTGTGTGTGTGTATATGTGAGAGAGTTAGCGGAGGTGTCACGCCTCTTCTGGGTATTTAATATTGGGATTGTATTTTTCATTTTTGATTTGGGGAATTTCGGACCACGACGACCTCCTCGCTGTCCTCGGGACCTTTGGGATAACCGGAGTTGCAGTAAAAGGGCCCGGATCTCTGAGCACTAAACCACACTCTTTCTCTCTCTATCCCTCTCTCTCTCTCTCTCTCTCAATTGGCTCCTGGATAAACAACCCCACGCTTGCTTCCCCCTTCTCTCTCTAATTATTGTTTCTCCATTTCCTATCCCCTATCCCCAGTTCATATCAGAGGGAGCACCGCCTCCAGATCTGTGGCGATGGCAAAGAGGGTGAGATTTTAGTGAGAGAAACAAGTATTTGAAAAAGAGAGAACAATGAAGAGAGCTCAAGGGGATAGCAGCTCCGGCGCCTACAGGGCGTCACACGGGAAGAGCAAAATGCAAGAACCACAGGACGCAGGCGTAGACGAGCTCTTGGCGTCGTTAGGCTACAACGTTAGGGCATCGGACATGGCGGAGGTGGCGCAAAAACTCGAGCAACTTGAGATGGTTATGGGCACCGCTCAAGAAGACGGGATCTCCCATCTCGCCTCTGAAACTGTCCATTACAACCCCTCTGATATCGCAACCTGGATCGAAAGCATGTTAACTGAGCTCAACTTTCCCCCTAATTTAGGTGCTCCCTATGCTCCAAACCCTAGCAATAATTGCTGGACGGCCGCCGAGCTGCCTCCACCTCCACTACCGGATTCCAACGCAGCCGAGTCCTGTTCTTCTAATTTACACCCCCCTCAATTGTTTGATTCGAGTGATTTTGGAACGAGTTCCCAAATTAGCAGCTTAGTTTATCAGTCTCCACCGAGAGAAAAGAAAAGGATCAAAGCAGCACCACCACCGGAGCCCCGACCAGTGGTGGTGGTGGACTCTCAGGAGACTGGGATTCGGCTGGTGCACACGCTGATGGCGTGCGCTGAGGCGGTTCAGCAGGAGAATATGAACGCAGCGGAGGCCCTTGTGAAGCAGATCGGGATGCTGGCAGTGTCACAAGCAGGGGCGATGCGCAAGGTTGCTACCTTCTTTGCCGAGGCCCTGGCCCGAAGGATCTTTCGATTTCACCCGCAAGATACCGTCGACTTGTTCTCGGATATTTTACAGATGCACTTCTATGAGACCTGCCCTTATTTGAAATTCGCCCATTTCACCGCGAACCAGGCCATTCTCGAGGCCTTTGCGGGGAAGAAGAGAGTGCATGTGATTGATTTCAGTATGAAACAGGGGATGCAATGGCCGGCTCTTATGCAGGCTTTGGCCTTAAGACCCGGAGGACCACCGGCTTTCAGGCTCACCGGGATTGGTCCTCCTCAGCCCGATAACACCGACCCTCTGCAACAAGTGGGCTGGAAATTGGCCCAACTAGCTGAGACAATTCATGTAGAATTTGAGTACCGAGGCTTTGTGGCTCGAAGCCTGGCTGACCTCGAAGCGTATATGCTCGACGTAAGGCCAAGCGATGTCGAGGTGGTGGCCGTGAATTCCATCTTCGAGCTGCACAACCTGCTAGCTCAACCCAGCGCCCTCGACAAGGTGCTTGCCTCCGTCCGAGCCCTGCGGCCCAAAATTGTGACCATCGTCGAGCAAGAGGCAAACCATAACGGGCCGGTCTTCATGGACCGTTTCACTGAGGCGCTTCACTATTACTCCACTCTGTTTGACTCCTTGGAGGGTTGCGGCTTGCCTCCTGGCAGTAATGACCAGGTCATGAGCGAGGTTTATCTGGGGAGGCAGATATGCAATATCGTGGCGTGCGAGGGTGCGGATAGGGTCGAGAGGCACGAGACCTTGACCCAGTGGAGGGCTCGGATGGGTGCAGCCGGGTTCGCGCCCGTGCACCTGGGCTCGAACGCGTTTAGACAGGCTAGCATGCTTCTAACTCTTTTCTCAGGTGGTGATGGTTACAAAGTGGAGGAAAACAATGGGTGCCTCATGTTGGCTTGGCATACGCGTCCCCTCATTGCTACTTCGGCTTGGCAAATCGCCCTGCCTTAGATTCAAACCCTAATCCACTCTCTCTCTCTTCTTTTCCCCCTTTTCTTCTTCAATTTTCTAGTGTTTTTTTTGTTTAGAGATATCACTCTTCTCTTCCTGTAATTTTATGAGTTCTCTCTCTCTCTCTTTTCATTTGGTTCTGTATCTGTGTATCCAATAAAAGAAAATGACCCATCCCACTTTTTTGATTCAATCTTCTCCTCATTTAGTGATTTCGGTTCCAGTGCTAGAAAGCCTGCTCTGCAACTTTACCAAAAATGGGTTCTTCCTCATTAATTTGCTCCTAAATTTCGTTTTCCTCTTTTCAGGACCATCAAATGTGGTGATCAGTTGTCAAAAGTAAATTAAACAACTTGAAACACTTCCTGGTTCTTCGCTTTCAAGTTGTATTTATGTCTGCTTTTTA